TGTGCTTTGCTGCGCTTTGTTTTGCTGTGCTTTGCTGCGCTTTGTTTTGCTGTGCTTTGCTGCGCTTTGTTTTGCTGTGCTTTGCTGCGCTTTGTTTTGCTGTGCTTTGCTGCGCTTTGTTTTGCTGTGCTTTGCTGCGCTTTGTTTTGCTGTGCTTTGCTGCGCTTTGCTTGAGCCCATTCTTATGTGTCCCACGCTCTGGGACGATCAAGAACAGATTCTACCCTTTGCTCTCTTTCAAGTCCTACAGCTCTCGTCAAAGCGCAATACAAGTTATTTTGCAGTCCGAAAAAGTTCTGGAAGGCCGTTCCTGCCCCTGGACTAGAGGCTTCGCTGCCATGTGCTGGCTCACTTTCAGATCAAGATAGAAATCACATCCCGCTGGAGAAAATAGACAAACACAGCTAGCCAAAGGTGAATAGGACAAGTGTACAGACGCAGCAGGCAAAAATTTAACAAGTGTAGCATTTTTTCCTGGCTGGCATGGGTACAGGAAAACACAGACCCCTCCAAGCCTGCCAGATAGCTCAGTGATTTAGCTAATCTGATTGAGAGTTTATTTCTCCATGGTATCTCCCTGGCAGCGTCTGAACTTGGCGATCCATAGGATCCCTTCCACCTGCGCGGTTCTCAGATTATTATTATTATTATAACCTCCTCCCAAGTTTTTATTATGCATGGTTAGAAAATCTGTAACGGTGGTGCACATCAGCTAAAAAGCTGCTGCACATAATAAACTTAATAAACACAGAAAACTTGACATGCGATGCAGGGGAAAATTATTCCATCTCTTGATTCAGCGGAAGATTAAAAGATACGTATTGGCCGTCTTGATAAACCATTCTACAGCCCCGCCACTAACATCTGAGAGTCACCCGAGGTTCACACAACTCTTTCCAGCCAACACAAACCTCGCCAAGGCTGATAACTTGTTATCAGACTCTTATCACCCAAAAGCGCCACATCACCAAGCATTTGAACACAGAGCAGCTTTCTCCGCGGGGACAGAGAAGGTAGAAACAACTGGGTAGCCACAATATAAACAAAGAGCCGGATAAATAAAAAAAAACTTTTCCAGGGCCATAATTCGGGTGGAGAAAATAGGGCTTTGCCCTGAAAATTTAGAGGGCAGCTGAATCTAGAGGTGAATCGCTGAGAATAAATATTTGATCAAGTGTAGATTCATGAGCAACTACCCAATATACTATGTTTGATATAAAATGCAGGCTTGGCTTCCCAAGTGTGGACACTGTGGTTGTCTTAGTAAATCATTGAGCAAGGGTGGCCACTGAATTTGTCGGAAATAAAAAATTTCTTAGGCAAGTAAGTTCCTTTTCTCTTTGCTCTACCCATTGGCCTTCTGCAGTGGGCATCGCCACGGGTACCCCAGGGCAGGCCATGCTTGAAGGACAAAAATCCCAAATTCTCGGAAAATCCCAAATCATAGAACAGTATCAAGGAGTGGGGAGGGGCCACCGAGTCCAGACCCCTGATCCGTGCAGGAATCCGTATCAAAACAGATCCGGATGTGTCGAGAGGTCATTGCCTCATTCTCTCTGGACGGCCACCAGCGCTGGGAGCGCTCCCCACCTCCCGAGGCCACAGGTTCCCTCATCGTACTGCTCTAACAGTTAAGACTTTTTTCCTGATATTCAGCAGAAATCTGGCTTCCTGTTGCTTGAGCCCATTCTGACATGCCCTGCACTCTGGCATGATCAAGAACAGGTTCTACCCTCCGCTCTCTTTCAAATCTTTGAAAAGTGCTATTCTATCTCCTCTCTGTCCTTTTTTCTCAAGGCGAAATATGCCCGGATCTGCCATCTATGACTCGGTTTCCAGTCCTGAAGTGCCCAGATGCCTCAGAGAGCCGAGGGAAACCTGGGTGAGACCCTAGAAGACTCTAAAGAGAGAGAGAGAGAAGACCTCGGTGTTGCATAGTCAGACTCTGAACATTGACCTACAGCTCTCGTCAAAGCGCAATACGAGTTATTTTGCAGTCCGAAAAAGTTCTGGAAGGCCATTCCTGCCCCTGGACTAGAGGCTTCGCCGTCGTGTGGTGGCTCGCTTTCAGATCAAGATAGAAATCACATCCCGCTGGAGAAAATAGACAAACACAGTTAGCCAAAGGTGAATAGGACAAGTGTACAGACGCAGCAGGCAAAAATTTAACAAGCGTAGCATTTTTTCCTGGCTGGCATGGGTACAAGAAAACACAGAACCCCACCCCCCCCCCCCCCCCGCCCCACACCCCACCCGCATAGACACTACCTGAAAGGAGAAGTTCATTCATGGCTTAGGAAGAATTAAACTATATTACTCGGCTGTTTTTAGAATGCGATTTGCCTTTCAGCTTCTAGCAGTGGTTCCCAATTTTGGGTCCTCAGATATTCTTGGATGTAAACTCCCAGAAGCCTTCACCCTCAGCCGTGCTGGCCAGGATTTCTGGGAGTTGTAGTCCAAGAACATCTGGGGACCCAATGCTCGGGACCTCTGACTTGGGTTCGACCCAGATAAATCGGAAGCAGTTGGAGAACTGCTCTGTGATTGAGATTTTAGGATTTTTTAAACACATCTGCTGATGAATTTGAGGAAAACTAGGTGGTGACCCTTTGAGCCTTCGTCCCTTTTTCTTGAAAAAGCGTAAATGTTCTCTTCGTGACAGTCTTGCCAATCTCCCGACGCGGGCACCCACAACAGCTGGTGCCCACTGTGGTTGGCAGGGTGGAAGGAACGTGGACGGAGACCAGGGTGGGCAGAGGGCAGGGCAGAAACGGGGTATCCATACACAGAGAGAGAAAGAGCAGCAGACACAGACAAGGTGGCATTCACACCTGCATGAGCAGGGAGCGGATTCAGCTCATGGGACCCGTCGTCAAGTCACACTGGCAACTGGACTCAGTTCATTTTTTTTAATTCCTCAGATTCAATTCGCATCTTGGAAATCACCTACCCGTACCTTTTTTTCAAGGGGGGGAGCTTCTTTTTAATAGGGACTCAGAGTTGGGACGCGGGACTTAGCACCAAAAGACTCGAACTCAGGACCCAAAGACCTGCCAACCTCCCTGAGTGTGGATGGAAAGGAAGCAGAGGTGGGTTTGCCCACGAGTGCCCTTTGCCTCAGACGGGCAGGGCCCTCCCGGCCGTAAGGGACCGGCCTCCACCAGCCAGAACTGACCTTCCTCGGCCATCCCCCAGAAATAGAGATGTTTGGGGTCCAAAAATACAATTGCCGTCAACATTCCAAAGTCTTCTATCCTGCCGTTCTTCTCTGGAGTAGGATTTCCGGAGAAACAGTTGGCGCTGGTTTGGAAGGGCAGGCTCTCTCTCTCTCTCTCTCTCTCTCTCTCTCTCTCTCTCTCTCCCCTTCCCTCCCCCCCTCCCTCTTTTTTTCTTTCTTCACCTGTTCTTCCAGCTCCTGACTCACCTTTTCTGGGCGGTCCTTTCCCCAAGCATCACCATCGGATGATGCAGGTGAGTCACCCCTGGCCTCTTTTGGGCCAAGGGGAGGAGAAAAGCGACCAGATTCAGAGGCCCTGTGCTAGGCATTGGAGCAGGATGGGGACCCTCTGGAGCAGGGACCTTTTCGCCTCCCCGGCACCTGGGGAGCCCTTCTGCCACACACACCCCAAGAGCACCTGTGGAGACCCATTGCCTCCTCCCTTCCTGCTCCCTTTCAGCCCTTTCCCCGTTTAAGAAGGCTGAGGAAAGGAGCTCCTTTTAGGGTTAGGTAATATGCAAATTCATCTAATTGCGGAATTAGCACAGGGGTGGAAAGCCAAGCGACTCTCTGGGTCTTTCAAGCAAAGCTGACTTCAGAGTCTGAAGTTTGGAAGGGGAGAAAGCATTTTATGTCTCTTGCACACAGTTTTAGGTACACCTACATACGCATGCATGCGTTATCTACAGAGGCATGTAAGTATATTTACACACACACACACACACACACACACACATACCTATGGAAACAGCTGCTCGGGGACGAGAGGGCCATGGCTGCTTTTATTAACCATGGTAGAAAGGAGCAAAACCTTCATGGCCAGGTGCAGTCTATCTCTGAGTACTGGGCACAGATGATGGATGGCCTTGTACATCTTATGAATAACCTGGAAGGATGGGAGGCGCAAACCGTGTGGGCCTTAGATCTGCTCCCGGACAGCCATGCTGGTGGTTCTGATGGCAAAGAAGGGAGCCTCCATGAAAAGGGGCAGTCTACCTCTGGATGCTGCCAGCAGCAGAAGGAGGTCTGTGGTGTGGCCCCCCCTCCCCCGAGCCCTCCTTGCAAGTACTGAGCGAAGCCCAGAGGCTGGAGAAGGCGCCTTTGAGGTGGGTGACTACAAAGCCCCGACTAGAGCGCAGAAGCATGATGGGAGGTGTCATCTCTTTATAAAAAGGGGGAGGTTGCCCGTGATTGGCTAAGATGCGCCCACCGGCTGGAGGCAGTGGGGCCCGATCCACCGACCAAGCCAGCTGCGGAGGATGGCCGAGGGCCCGGGAGGCAGAGGCGGAGCCTCCGACCCAGGCCCCCTCCGGGCCCTTGGGAAGGGCCAAGGCTACCTCGCGGGGGCGTCGTTCCCACGCCCAGCCCTGCCGCGCTTGGT